GGAAGAACTAATATTGTTAAAATGTCTGCACTACCCATAATGATCTACAGAGTCAATGCGGTCACTCAAAATTTCAATGGCATTTTTTTAGAAAATGTAGAAAAAATGGCCGGGTGTAGTGGCTTATGCCTGTAAGCCCAGCACTTTGGAGGCTGAGGTGAGTGGATCACTTGAGGTCAGGAGTTCGAGACCAACCTGGCCAACATAGTGAAACCCCATCTCTACTAAGAAATACAAAAAAAAAAAAAAAAAAGCTGGACATGGTGGTGTGCACCTGTAATCTCAGCTACTTAGGAGGCTGAGGCAGGAGAATCACTTGAACCCAGGAGGCAGAGGTTGCAGTGAGGTGAGATTGCACCATTGCACTCCAACTTGAGTGAAAAGAGGGAAATTCCACCTCAAAAAAAAAAAAAAAGAGAGAAAGAAAGAAAGAAAGAAAAGAAAAGAAAATGTGGAAAAAATAGTTCTAAAAATAGAATAAGAATTTTAATAATTAAAATTCAAACGAAATCACAAATGACCCAAAATATCCAACGCAATCTTAAGAAAGAAGGACAAAGCCAGAAGCATAATGGGTCATGATTTCAAACTATATACAAAGCCGTGGTAATCAAAACAGTGTAGTAGTGCTATAAAAACAGACATATAGACCAAAGAAATGGAATAACCCGAAGTAAACCCACAAATATATGGCCAACTAATCTTTGACTAGGCCATGAAAACTACACAATGGGGAACAAATAGTCTTTTCAATGAACTGTATTGGGGAAACTAGATATCCACATGCAAAAGAATGATTTTGGATGTTTATCTTATTCCATATACAAAAATAACTGAAAATGGGTTCAAGACTGAAATGTATGATCTGAAACTATAAAGCTTCTAAAATAAATACAAAGAAAAAGCTCCTTGCCATAGGTCTTGGTGATGATTTTTGGGGTATGACACCCAAAGCACAGGCAACAAAAGCAAAAACAAAGAAGTGTAACTGCATCTAACTAAAAACTCTGCAGCAAAGGATACAATCAACGAAATAAATAAGCAAGTTGTGGTATGCGATAATACGTTGGCAAACTATATCTATGATCAGGAGTTAATATTCAAAATATATACAGAATTCATACAACTCAATAGCAAGAAAACACAAAATAAACCTATTTTAAAATGGACAAAGAACCTAAACATACCTAAAAAATAGACACGTTTCCAAAAAGAGACATACAAACGGCCAACAGGTTTATTAAAAAGTGTTCAACATCATTAATCACCAGGGAAATACAAATCAAAACCACAGTGAGATATCACCTCATACCTATTAGGATGGCTACTACATAAAAGATAAAAGATAACACATGTTGGAGAGGAAACCAAGAAAAAGAAACCCTTCTATACTTTTGGTGGGAATGTAAATAGGCATAGCCACTATGGAAAACACCATAGAGCATAGAGATTCTTCAAAAAATAAAAATAGTACTACAATATGACCCAGCAATCCCATTTCTAGCTATATATTTTAAAAGGTGATATCAGTATCTCAAGGAGATATCTGCATCCACATGTTCATAGCAGCATCATTCACAGCAGTCAAGATAAATAAATGGCCTAAGTATCCATCAGTGAATGAATGGATAAAGTAAATATGGTATACACACATACACAGACACACAGACACACACACACACACACACACACACAGAGAGAGAGAGAGAGAGAGAGGGAGGGAGAGAGGGAGATAGAGGAATATTATTCAGCCATAAAAGAGAAGGAAATCCTGCTATTTGCAATGACATGGATGAGCCTGGAGGGCATTGTGCTAGGTGAAATAAGCCTCACACAGAAAAACAAATACAGTATGATCTAACTTACATGTGGAACCTAAAAAGTTGAACTCATAGAAGCAGAGAGTAGAATGGTGGAATGAATGGCGGTTGCCAGGAATTGGGGTAAATGAGAGGTTTGGGTCAAAGGGTACACACTTTCAGTTATAAGATGAATAAGTTCTAGGGAACTAGTGTACAGAATAGTGACTATAGTTAACAATATTTTATTGTTTACTTGAAATTTTCCAAACATAGATCTTAAATGTCCTCCATGCATAAACAAACACGCACACACAGAGTGATAAGTATGTGAGGTGATACACATATTAATTAATTTGGTTGTGGTAATCATTTCACAATCGATATGTATATTAAATCATCATGCATATCTAGAATATATACAATTTTTACTTGACAATTATACCTCTATAAATCTAGAAAAAATAGAAATCTTGACTCCAGGACTAGATATGTTCTTGCCTGATCCTAGAAGTGGTCACCTGGAGCTCCCCCTCTCATGTCTGGCCTCCCTAAGAACCGTTTTCCTATACCATTCATGTTCCATATCAATTTCTCCTTTTTTTAGGGTGTACAGTGAAATTTAGAACTTAATCACTTGCTCTGTTACGCTTCTCTGTAATATATATAAGTCTTGTCTGGAGTATAAACCCTTCAGGCAGGAATTCTATCCCATATCTGGTATTCTGTTTAGTAACAGTTTAAGGTCTGAGTATCAGTAAGTTTTCAGTAAATACTTGTTGAGTGACGGATTCTGAGGCTCTAAGGCATCACTAGTGGAAGAAACTACTGGAGATATTTGCATAAGGAAGAAACTACTGGAGATATTTGCATAAGGCCCGGTCACTCTTACTGAAGATTTCTCATTAGCAAAAGTGCAGTCAATGACCCAGAGTTCCACTTGTGAGAATATTGCTGCAGGCCTCACAACAGAAGAGGCATAACCCTTGCAATGTGTGATGAAGAATGACTAAGTCTTGTTCTCTTGACTGTTGGTGTGAAGACTACATTTACAGTAAAAATAGGGGCATATTTTAAGTACTATTTTGTATAATAAAAAGTTGTGAGAGTTTTTTTTTTCCTTTTATTATTCAAAGTTAGGATAATGACAAAGAATATTTAAGGACTTTGATACTTACACAGAAAAGAAGGTTTGGTGCATTTAAAGCAGTTGGAGAAAAATATAATGAACAATTATTACATTTAAAACAAAATAATATAGATAAATTAAAAGAATAAGAACAGATTTTACACTAACAGTCCCAGTGGAAAGTAAGAGTTTAAAAGTAACAATTCTGTAACGTAATTTTTATTTGTTTAAATTGTTTTAAAACTGAAGTCACAAAGAAATGCTTGAAAGCCAAATAAAATTAGTCAGAGAAAAGAATAAAAGTGGATCTCAGAAAAAATAATTTTTAAGAAGATTATTTGAAAGACTATGACTAGATATGTTCTTGCCTGATCCCACAAGCTGTGACCCAGAGTTCACCCTTTGATATGTACTATTATCCTGTACCATTCATGTCCTGTAACGATTTCTCCTTTTCTCCGTTCATTTCTCAGATATTTATGTTTTTTAACTTAATAACTCTTTTATTGGCAACATTTGCCTTGTTGTGACTTCTGAAGAAAAAAGTGGTAGTTGTAAAATACAATATAACCTTAATTTCATTCATTCATTCATTCATTCATTCATTCATTCAGATATTCAATATTAAGATATTTACTAGGCATTATGCAAAAGAATTTTCAACAACGCGGAAGTGAAAGAAGACCATTTACTGCCTGAAAAGTGCTAGAAATGGCCACTGCAAAGTGTGATGAGAACTACAATAAAGACTTAAAGTCCTTTGGGAATTCATTTATTTACTTATTTTTAAAACAATTTCACAGAACTTCTATTTACCTGTATCCTTTATGATAAATTTCTTTTGTTTGAAGAATTTATGAATACCTTGTAAGCTACAGAGACAGGTTAGTTATATTTAAGACAAAAATGGTCCAATTGCTAAAATCTGGCTTACTTATAAGTAATTGCCATTCTTTGTTCCTTTGGGAGGAAGGTATTTCTTGTCCTCCCCCCCCCACCCCCCCCGTTTTTTTGCAGAGATCCAGAAAAGGCCTCATAGAGATACTGGCATTTGAACTGGTACTTAAGAATAGGTAGCACTTAAACGGACAGGACTAGCAGAGAGCATCCTAGAATCACCGGAACAGAAAAGCGAACGCGTTAGAAAGTATGTGTGTGCATGTAGAGAAACCGTGGGAGTTTTAAAAGGAAGTTGAGATGCACTCTGTGATGTGAAAGTCAGTGAAGATAACAGGGAAATATTGAAAGATTTTCATAAGGAATTTATGTAATTAGACTTCTATTTCAGGAAGATTAATATGATAGTGATGTAGAATAATCGGAGAGAGAAGAGACTGTGAGTAGAGAAATCAGTAAAGGGATCATATCAGTCAGGACAGGCTAGGATGCTGTATAACTGCAGACTCCGAAGTCTCTGTGGATTAAACTAACAAAGATAGCAAGGACATGTATTTCTTGCTGCTGCTCCGTGTACATTTTGGGCCCATGTGTGAAGGGTAGGGGGAACTGAGCTACACTACACTCAGGCATCCATCTGGAAGATCATCTGTCTCTATAGCATGGTGAATTATGCACTGGCTTGTAAAACTCGTACTCAGTCTAAGAGTAACGCATGTCAGTTCTATTCACATTTCATTGACTGTGTCTATGCCTAATTTCAGGGGTGAGCAAATGTAATCCTACTATATGCCCAAAAGGAGAATAACTGGAATATCTGTGAATATTTCAATCCCCTCAAGAGGCGGTTGCAATAGTCAATGAGGGTGTAAGCAGTAGAAATGAAAAGAAATAGGAAAACAAAAGAAATAGTTTAGAAATAGAGGCCGCAGCAACCACCACACCCGGCACTTCCCTTGCGGCAGTCGGGCCTAGCAAATGCAGTGCCGCCGTGCATGCCAGAGTGGCTGTAGCTGCCGGGCGCGGCGCCGCCCTGTTCCGGCTGTGGGTTGCTGACTGCGCCTCCGCTTGCGGCCGGCCCTGCAGGACTGCAGGCGCCGCAGCGCCCCGTGCTCTGCAACGCTGCGGCGGGCAGCTTGGGATAACGTAGCCGTTCGCAGAGATCGCCTCCGAGGATGAGGGAGTGGTGGGTCCAGGTGGGTCCGGGTGGGGCTTGCTGCTTACCCGCACATCCCGCCCCCTCAGCTCTCACCTGATCTTCAATCATGGAAGTCTTCAGACAAGTTTTTCACTTACAAGGGACTGCGTATCTTCTACCAAGACTCTGTGGGTGTGGATGGAAGTCAGGAGATAGTTGTGGTTTTACACGTTTTCCAACATCCAGCTACGATTTGTACAATATTTGGGAAGGTCTGACCTTGAGGTTTCATCGAGTGATTGCCCTTGATTTCTTTAGGCGTTGGCTTCAGTGACAAACCGAGACCACATCACTAGTCCATATTTGAGCAGGTCAGCATCGTGGAAGCACTTTTGCGGCATCTGGGGCTCCAGAACCACAGGATCAAGTCTCATGACTATGGAGATAATTGTTGCTCAGGAGCTTCTCTACAGGTACAGGCAGAATCGATCTGGTCGGCATACCATATAGAGTCTGTCTGTCAAATGGAGGTATCTTCCCTGAGACTCGCCGTCCTCTCCTTCTCCAACAGCTACTCAAAGATAGAGGTGTGCTATCACCCATCCTCACACAACTGATGAACTTCTTTGTATTCTCTCGAGGTCTCACCGCAGTCTTTGGGCTGTATACTTGGCCCTCTGAGAGTGAGCTGTGGGACACGTGGGCAGGGATCCGCAACAATGACGGGAACTTAGCCATTGATGGTCTCTTACAGTACATCAATCAGAGGAAGAAGTTCAGAAGGCGCTGGGTGGGAGCTCTTGCCTCTGTAACTATCCCTATTCATTTTATCTATGGGCCATTGGATCCTGTAAATCTCTATGCAGAGTTTTTGGAGCTGTACGGGAAAACGCTGCCGTGGTCCGCAGTGTCGATTCTGGATGACCACCACATAAGCCACTATCCACAGCTAGAGGATGCCATTGGCTCCCTGAATGCATATATGGGCTTCATCACCTCCTTCTGAACTGGAATGAGTAGCTTCCCTGTATTACCTTCTCTACTCCCTTATCTGTTGTGTATTCCACTTAGGAAGAATGCCCAAAAGAGGTCCTGGCCATCAAACACTATTCTCTCACAAAGTCCACTTTACTCAAATTGGTGAACAGTGTATAGGAAGAAGCCAGCAGGAGCTCTAAGGTTGACATAATCCACCTCCCATTACTTTGACAACTGATCGAATGTATGGACCTGGCTTTGTTTTTGTGTTATTAGGAATTTCTGATGAGCATTACTATTCACTGATTCAGAAAGACGTTCTTTTGTGTGGAAGACTTTTCTTTAACTCTTTGGACTTCTCTGAAATACTTAGAAATGCTCATTTCTGGCCCAGCCCCAGTAGGAATTCTATAGTAAGAATAAGGAGAAGTGGACCTCCTTCCCTCTCCTTGAATGGCTTTATGGGCACACTCTTTTGAACAGTTCTTTAAGCAACACAGAGCTGAGTCCTCTTTGTCATACCTTTGGATTTAGTTTCATCAGCTGTTTTTAGTTATAAACATTTTGTTAAAATAGATATTAGTTTAAATAATATAGTATTCTAAGCATGATTTAAGATTATGATTTACCTACACATTATATATATATTATAAAGATACTAAACCAGCATACCCTTACTCTGCCAGAGTAGTGAACCTAATTAAACATGTTTGATTTCTGAATAAATTAAACTAAATCCAAACTATTTCCTAAAATCACAGAACATTAAGGGCCAATAGCATCCGTGTCAGAGATTTACTGTTACTAGATGGGGAGACCAATTCTAACAGCAAATAACAGTCTGAGACTCCTCATACCTCTGTGCTTAGAAACATATCTCTCTTGAGCTACTCTAGAGGGGAAGGGATTCTTGTGCAGTCCAAGTCACTGTGCTGAATGTACATTGATTCCTTTATGACAACTGCTTAACTCCCCATTGCCTGTCCCAGAGAGGCTTTCCAATGTAGCTCAGTATTTCCTGTACTTTACAGACAGGAAAGTTCCAGAAACTTTAAGAACAAATTCTGAAAGACCTATGAGCAAATGATGCTGAATACTTTTTTTTTAAGCCACATTTCATTGTCTTAGTCAAAGCATGATTATTAAGTGATTATTTAAAATTCTTTTTTTTAAATTAGCAACTTCAAGTACAACAATTTTGAAACTGGAATAAGTGTTTATTTCCTATTAATACAAATTGTGACAAAAAAAGAAATAGAATCAAGACCTTGCTCATTGATATAATGGGAAGAAAGATAGGGATCTAGTAGGAATCTAATGGTTTATACCTGCAAGACTGATGGGACCCTCAGCAGAAATTTGGAAACAGGAGGAAAATAACTTGATGGAGGTGGGTGAGGACTGTGGAAAGAATGGGACACTTCAGAGGGAGAATGTTTAGCTGTTAAGTTTAAGCCATGTAAAGTTGTAAGTTCTGGAAGGAATGTGCAAGTAAGGATATCCAAAGGAGATAGAAAGTTAGAGATGGAGTTCACTCACAGAAGTGGTCAAATATGGAAATAAGGATTTTGAAGTCACTAACATAGAAGTAATATTTAAATCTATAGGCCTAGATGAGACTGCAAATTTCATACCATTAGATTGACCTTCCCATATTCTTGAGTCAATAGAAAGAATGTTGATCTAATTTTACTGGCTTCACATTTCTGGGAAAAAAAATAAACTACTACTAATAAATATAATTCAGGTAAGAATTTGAAAAGTTCTTCAGGAAGAAGGAACACTACTCTTTAAGGATGAAATTGGTGATAGTTGTGAATTTTGAATCTTTCAGGAGTCTTATGTTAACATATCCTACAGTTTTTATATCTCATTCCTGGAAGTTCACCATGTAAAAATATAAGTGAAAACTTGACTTACAGTGGAACAATTAAGAAGCACATACTTAAAGATGATCTTCTGAAAGGCATTATAAGAGTTTTGCAATTTTTAAAGAGAGGTTTCTATTCTCTTTGCCTTAACATGCTCAGACGTGAATTTTTAGTAAAGAATTAATGAATGAAATCCTTTATGAAGGTTTTCAAGTGCAGTTTTTGAACAAAGTTTCCAGCTTGCAGATATATTGCTTTTTTACTATCTATACAGGTAAATTTGAACTAATTCATTATACCAGTGGTTCCCAGCCTTTTTGGCACCAGAGTCCAGTTTGGTGGAAGACAGATTTTTCCAGAGACCAGGGTTGGGGGTGGTTTTGGGATGATTCAAGTGCATTACATTTATTGTGCACTTCGTGTCTATTATCATTATATTGCAATACATAATGAAATAATTATACAACTCACCATAACACGGAATCAGGGTGAGCCCTGAGCTTGTTTTCCTGCACCTAGATGGTCCCATCTAGGGATAATGAGAAACAGTGACAGATCATCAGACATTAGATCCTTATAAGAAGCATGCAACCTAGATCCCTTACTGATGCAGTTCACAATAGGGTTTGCACTCCTATGAGAATCTAATGCCACTGCTGATCTGACAGAGGGTGGAGCTCAGGTGGTAATGCCAGTGATGGGGAGTGGCTGTAAACACAGATGAAGCTTCACTCACTCACCCACCACTCACTTCCTACTGTGCAGCCCAGTTCCTAACAGGCCACTGACTGGTGGAATGCACGGGTCCCCAATCCCCAGTACCAGTCTGTGGCCCAGGGGTTGGGGACTCCTGAATTACACAATAAACATACATTCAATTATTCTAATGTAGTCAAATATATAAGGTGAAACATTATGATGAGTAGTTTTCAAATTGCTATTATTATTTACTAGTGGACCTTGAAGTCCGTTTAATAGGTCAAAACCGGTATTTTAAAAAGAATATAAAATAGAAATATTGGAGTCCTCTGAATGTAAAATGTCTAAGTATTTCTTTAAGACATCTCGTGTCATTTTTATTATGTGTGAATGTGTTAGAAAGAGAGATATTATCCAATTTAAGTGCATTTCTTATCAAGAAAAGAGGTTGAAGGCCACTGTTCTAGAGGAATAAGAAGAGAGGAGGGAGAGTGGTGTGTTGACCAGGAAATGCTTTAGCCATTTTATCAGTTAAAGACAAATATCAGCTATGGATACCATTTCACACTTCATTTCAGTAGCCATCTATCATTCTCAGTTCTTTAGAATCCACCAGATCTTTATGTCCTGCAGCTCTCAGCTTCGCTATTTTGTGCTTGCTCGATGGTTTATACCCAAAACCGTACCTTAGAGGACGAACATATTCAAACTGGATGTCGACCTTAATAAGATTCAGTATATACCTTAATAAGATTCCTGAATTTATCTCAGAAGGAGGATTACCAATATGAAAAAGGAGCATAAATATTCAAAATATGGTCTATGGTGTCTTCCATTAACCAAGACATAATATTAGTATTAAATAATAGTTAGCTATGGAATATTTAACTGTTATTCTGGATTTTTTTTTTTTTTTTTTTTTTTGAGACGGAGTCTGGCTCTGTCTCCCAGGCTGGAGTGCAGTGGCGCAATCTCGGCTCACTGCAAGCTCCACCTCCCGGGTTCACGCCATTCTCCTGCCTCAGCCTCCCGAGTAGCTGGGACTACAGGTGCCCACCACCTCACCCGGCTAATTTTTTTTTGTATTTTTAGTAGAGACGAGGTTTCACCGTGTTAGCCAGGATGGTCTCGATCTCCTGACCTCATGATCCGCCCGTCTCAGCCTCCCAAAGTGCTAGGATTACAGGCGTGAGCCACCGCACCCGGCTATTCTGGATTTTTATATGTTGACAAAAGAAACAGAAGATTTGAGCTGTCACCAGTTTGAGAGCCTACTAACGCATTAGAGTTTTAAAAATTTTCTTTCCAACTCTTCATCTTGGGTTCACTTTAAATATTGAGAACAAATCACATTATTATTAAAGAATTATACATATCTGAGTTACCTCTGGGGATTATAAATTTGGGATATGATACGTTCTGATCCTTGAAGCGGTAAAATGACCATATCTAAAGAACAGAGGCCTAAACGAGAGGAGTTGGTATTCATACTCTAACCTCTGTTGCCACCATGACCAAAGAGCTTTTTAAAATAAGTTAAGAACAGACTCAAAACTAAGAAAACTGAGAGTTGTGGAAAGATGCAATTTCACCTTTGAAGGCCAACACTCTACCTCCCCATGTAGGTGACAAAAAGGAAAAAGAAAAAAAAAAGGCACACAATTTTCAAATAGAACAGAAAATTTTAGGCAAAGAAATACTGAAATGTTAGAAGTACTATGTGGAAATCCTAGATCTGGTGAAATATTCTGTCAGGATGGCTCATTGGTGAAGGACCAATGGAGAGTCCCAGTCCAACGGAGATAGAATCACAAAGAATGTGGTAGAGAAGAGAATAAAATGGCCTATTCAGTTTAGGCCCAGGAAGTTTCCCTGCTCCATTTCTCATAGCAAGACTGAGATACTGTTGAACATGCAGAACAAGATATGCATTAAGATGACATTTATGTGATAAACAAAATGAATCAAAGAATAAACCATATAATGCTATGTGAGAATTTGTGTCTATGTAAATGCATAACTAAAGAATAAAGGCATTGGTTTTCTCTGGATAGAGCACTGGGAGTGAGGATGTTGTTTTTGAATGATTTTAAAGTATGGTAAAATACACATAACATAAAATTCATCATTGTAACCATTTGTAAGTGTACAGTTCAGTAGTATTAGTACCTTCACGTTGTTGTGCAACCATCAACACTATTCACATCCAGAATGCTTTTCATCTTGCAAAACTGAAATTTGGTACTCATTAAATAAGAACTCCCCATTCCTCTCTCCCTGCAGCCCCTGGTAATCGCCATTATACTTTCTGTCTCTATGAATCGGACGACTCTAGGTAAGCAGAATCATAACAGTATTTGTCTTTTTGTAACTGGTATATTTCACTTAGCACAATGTCCTCAATGTCCATTCATATGGTAGCATGTGTCAGAATTTCCTCTCCTTTACAGATGGAATAATACTCCATCGTATACATGTACAACATTTTATTTAACTATTCATCTGTCAACAGCCAGGTTGTTCCCACCTTTTGGCCATTGTAAATAATGCTATTATGACAGAGATGTACAAATATCTTTTCGGGACCCTGCTTTTAATTATTTGGGGCATATTCCCAGAAGTGGAATTGTTGGATCCTATTGTAATTCTATTTGTAATGTTTTGAGGGCCCTCCATACTGTTTTCCATGGTTGTCACACCATTTTATATTCCCATCAACAATGCATAAGGCTTCTAATTCCTTCACATCCTCACCAATTTCTACCTTTCATTTTTAAAATTATGGCAGCCATCCTAATGGGTATAAAGTTTCGTTTGAATTTTTTACAACCAAAATATATTCACATACTATTTTTTAAACACTCAAAATATCTCAACAATATGGTGTGAAACCTAAGTATGTATATTCTGTAAAAGGCTTGTTGATGTTATTTCTGGTTAAATAATTCTCTTCTCCAAAAGAATATGTAATTGGGTAAAAATAATTGCAACATGATTGATGAGAAGGGATGGCTGGCCTACAGTGGAGTCAAATAGAGCATCCACATGCTGGGAAATAATCCATCTGCATGAGCTGGACCTGCAAAGCCAGCAGGGATGATGGGCTCTTACTAATATCTAAGAGGGGGAGTATAAATTTTTCATATGAGGGATTAAGAAGGATGTTTAAAAAAGCTGTAGTTTATTATATAGGGGAATTTTTTTCCTGGGATATATTTTCTTGAATTATTAACTGATAATTTAATTGATACTCAAAATAATCAAAATGGCAGGATATTTCCTTTACTGTAAAAACTTAACAGGAAAACTTCTCCTCCTCCTTCTTCTTCTCTTCCTCTTTCTCCTTTATGAGCAGTTCAATGGTATTAGAATTGAACACTAATAAATGTTTAAATAGGAATGATTTTGGGTGAAGAAGAGTTTCATGTTGTCAGTAGTTAGTAGTGCTGGTAAAAACAAATATAACACCACGTTAATGGAAAGACTTGTGTAACAGTTATGTATACATACACACATAAATACATATATATGTGTGTGTGTATATATATGTATATGAAAAGAAGTGTGTAAAAACTAACTGGGATAAAAAATCAAATTAAGGGAGTATCTAGAATCTTTGAGAGCATAGTATGATTTTAATAGATTTTGGAGCATATTTTCTTCTGCCATTATATATAAGCAGAGATAGTAGCTCTCAAAAAGTATTCTTGTGTTCCCTACACTTCTCAGTCCATTGCAGTTAAGAGGGGCATCTAACTATTCTCAGATTGTAAAAATGTGGAGCGGAGTCATGACTATGACTTCCTAGCTGAAGCACTGAAGACCTAGGTGCCAGCTCCCCACTACTCTCTTCCTCTGCCATAGCAACCATAGAAACCATTTCCTGAGTTGGAAACATCACAAGAAGAGGACAACTGGGACCCTGAGTCACCAGATGGACCTGTATTTGACATTGCATCATTGAGAAATAAACCTCTGTAATGCCAAGCTTTTGAGATTTGGGGGTTTATTCATTCCTGCAGTAAGGCTTAGCATTGATCAGACTACTACAGCAGATTAGTGATTGAGTAATTGTGTTCTTATAGGAATTAGCAGTGATATTGAGAACAGTGGGAAAAAATTAGTATTCCTCTGATCGTTCCACTATCTATATCTTCATCCTTTCTGTATTAAATATATTGAATATATTTTCCCCTTTTAAAATAGTTATACCTGTTTCCTAGTATAGCTATATTTGTTTCCTAATTTCGCTATCTTAGTTTTCTAGTACTGCCATAATAAATTACCACAAACTAGGTAGCTTAAAACAATAGACATTCATTTCACAGTTCAGGAGGCTATAAGTCTGAAACCAAAATGTCAGCCTAGTTGGTTCCTTCTAGACACAGTAAGAAAAAATGTCCATGCTTCTTTCGTTGGCATTGCTCGGTTTGTGGATGCACCACTCACATCTCTACCTCCATCTTTACACAGCTTTCTCCCTGTGTTTCTGTATCTCCTCCCCTCTTCTATGAGGATATCAGCCATATTGGATCAGGGTCCACCCTAAACCAGTATGACATCACCTTAACTTAATTACATTTGCAAAGACCCTATTTGCAAATAAGGTCACATTCATAGGTAACTGAGGTTAAGACTTCAACATTTCTTTTTGGAGGATGCAATTCGACCTACAAAAATAGCTTAGAAATGATATGCCACTTCAGCTTCCCACTTTTATCTTCTGGAAGTAAATTTTATGAAACGGATTTAAACAATCCTTACTTTTAGTCATCGTTTT